CGACTGTATTTCACCAAACATCAGGCGACATCCGAAGCTGGAAATCGAAGCGAAAATTTTGAAACCCTTATGTATATTTACATCATTATATATTTCTTACCCCACCCCCACATGATCCTATATCCATCACCAATCGTATACACATCGAATTGTGCTAATTTACTACAAAGTTACGCAAAGCAGCATCTACTATCTAAAATATGTACTGCGTGACTCTTAATACGTCCCTGCCGAATGTTACAGCGTTCGATGATCACGTGGTCTTGTTTATGTCCGGTCTATCTCTTATCTGAATATACTGTAGACTGGGATCCATCATACTAGAAGGAGTACCACTTAATGCAGGCACTGACGCAGCATGGTTCTTTTCGTGTATTCACGAAGAGAATACAAAAATCAGATAGCGATGAATGCAGATATTGTCAAAAAAAAGATACAGTTGCACACATTCTCTTCGAGTGCGACAGATGGGAGCAACAAAGGGCACAAGTCGTTGTTGGCCTAGGACACGCCCTGACGGAGAGTAATCTGACCAGCACCACGATGGCGAACAACCAATCGTGCATACAGATACAAAGATTCATCAGGGAAATACTATCCATTAAAGACAAGGATGAAAGAAGAACGGACAGCCCAAACTCCTAGGACATATACATGGAAATTTTACTGCAGAAACCGCTGAGGAAACGAAGACATGTCATGCTGGTAGTAAGCGCAGGCGACTCCCAGCATGAGGATGGGGGAGGGGGTTTTAGCCCAGGTGGCATAACCTGAATGCGGATACTAGATATCCGGTCTCAGGTATCTCTTGGTGATTTCCCCCCAAGAAAAAAAGAAAAAAAAGGGTAAGGCCTCAGGTTTAGGGAATATAAGGGTGCATAAGGGCCCCTCTAAGTGGGCTATGCGCCGGCTCCTCACGGTGACCGGTATGCGTCTAATTTCATAATTCATTCATCGATTCACCGAAATCAAATGAATTTTTGACACAATGCATTTTCCATAACGTAAGAGAGTTCAAAGGGTAGTGAATGTAGTCATAAACAAACCATCCAAACATCTTTTTATTGAATGGAAATAAAGCATGATCCAAGCATGTTTGCATTGATTTTCATATTTTGCAAGGTATTGTTCTAAACGCGAATTTCCATATTGAATTTCTAATGCTTCGTTGTATGACACGCCTACATTTACAAAATAAAAGTAATCTAATCATATTAGACGAAAATACCCCTGGTTTGCGAGATAATTGTAAAGTCTGCTTTTATTGCTGCAAGTTGTTCAAGGGCGTATTTAAAACATGGACGCATAATAAGAATGAGAAAACGTGTTTTTTGGGTTTCAATCGAAAGTTTTGACAGGACCGAAAAAAATCTTCATACAAGATTTTTAGGTATTTATGAGACCTCAAAAAGAGACCACACTTAAAAAGATCCGACTAATAGCAAAAAAGGTATGACCGAAAAGAGATGCAAACTGCAGATTTTGGCACTTGTTGGTAATGCGACGATACTTGAAATTCTTCAAATTCGTACTTCTAAATAACCACAACAAGATTGGAGTAGATTGATCAATTATTTTTGAGAATTTCTGATTGTTTATCCCAAAACACCTGTTTTCCGGCCATCATTACTAGTTTATTGAGCAATATACCGGGTTAGTTCAAAGGGCATTTTATAGCAAAAAAACGTGACCTTTGTTTTTCGCATAAAAATAACATTTGTCTTTCGGAATGGTTTGTGATTCATATCGGCAAGTTAAACACGTGTATTTTACTATTAAATGATCCAACCCTGTATATTGCTCAATAAAGTAGTAGTGGTGGCCGGAAAATAGGTGCTTTGGGATAAACAATTAGAAATTCTCAAAAAACTATTTGACCAATATACTCCAATTTTTTGGTTGTTATTTAGAAGTATTATTTCTACGGATTTGGAAAACTTCAAGCAGTTGCGTGAAATTATCATCGCATTACCAACCGTTGCCAAAACCTGCATTTTGCCTCGTTTTTCAGCCATAACATTTCTGCTATCAGTCGGATTTTTTTACGTGTGATCTCATTTGGTAGGTCTCATAAATACCTCAGAATCTTATATGAAAAGTTTTTTCGTTCCTGCCAAAACTTTCGATTGGATCCCAAAAAATACGTTTTCTCATTCTTTGTTGTCGAATAAAAAGTTTTCTCGCAAAAATTGGTGTACCCATTTTACGCGTCCATGTTTTCAATACCCCCTTGAACAACTTACACCAATAAAACCAGACTTTACATTTATTTCGGGCAAATTTGCTAATTAGAGTAGAAGTCGAAACGACAACCATTTTCATACAATTTGAATGAACCAAGTATTTTGGAAAGGAAAAAAAATAGTCTTCTTTTCATCATTGCCCGATTCTTGGAATGAGGGAATAGAACACCTAGTAGAAAATGCTCCATCACCTTTTGTGACAGTTTTTGACATGTGTTTTGCCGTCTATCGAATAAAAGACCTCTCACAAAACATGAAAAATAAGTCTCAGTCGATTGGCCCATAAATTCAGTATGATATACTTGTCATCTTCCTCAACAAGAATTCTTATGGGGCCTAAGCAGTCCTACGATTAGTTTTCGAGAAATGTGGAGAGAAAGTTTGGCCGATTTGCAAAAAAGGTGAATGTGCCAATTGTAGTGTGTAGACCAAAAACTCGTAGAATCGGTTAACTGCAAGAAATATTTAATTGGTTGGTGTTGACAGGTATCATGTTGCTGACGACAATGATGCTAACAAGGTCAATTTAAGGGCAAGATGATAATTACATGTCAATTCTACATCACTTACTTGCTATTGCACACTTTGATTGTTCGTGCTTGTTGATTTCGTACTGTTACTAATATTGGATTCGTGAACTGGACTGTTGATCGCTTGTGATTTGGATTTGGACTGTTTAATTGCTCTTCAAAACAACATTTGCTTTCCTTAGACTATCTTTGATAGTGTGATTGTGCAGTGCCGCTATGTCCGTGTACACCGTACAAGAATATGCTAACATGCACCTCATTTATGGCGAATGCAGATGCAACGCTAGTGCTGCAGCGAGACTTTACTGTGAGAGGTACCCGAATGCAGCTCGTCATCCAGATCATCGAGTGCACCGCTTATTGTTCTCAGAGGGCCAACTACCAAACCAATCACACGGTGAGGGAAGATTTTTCCTTCCTTACGAAGACGTGGTGCTAGGAGCTGTCGAAGAAGACCCGAGTACTTCAGTGCGTGCAATAGAACTAAAAACAAGTGTGCCCAAAAGTACAGCCCACAGAATCTTGCAAAAAACGTGCTCCATCCATACCACATACAGCGTGTTCAAGCTCTTCTGCCCCGGGATTATGAGCCCCGAGATGCTTTTTGTCGCACAATGTTAGAAAGACACAGGGAAGATCCACGTTTCTTTGAAAAAAATTTATGGTCAGATGACACCACATTTAAGAAAGATGGGTACATGAACCTGCATAACCTACACGAGTGGCACGTAGCAAACCCACATTTGATGAGAGAAGATAAATCTCAATATCGCTTCAAGATAAACCATTGGACAGGAATTTTAAATGGTAAAATAATCGGTCCGTTTGAGTTACCAGAGACTTTGACTGCTGAAGTTTATTTGGATTTTTTGAAAAATCATGTACAAAATTTATTGGTGGACGTGCCACTGAGTATTTACAGGGACATGTGGTTTCAGCAGCATGGCTGCCCAGCGCACTATGCACTCTCAGTGAGAGAGTATCTCGATCAAAACTCTCCAGGCAGATGGATAAGGCGGTCTGGTACAATACCGTGGCCAGCCCGATCACCCGATTTGAATCCTTCAGATTTTTTTACTGGGAAACTGTAAAAGAAAAAGTGTATTTCAAGCTGATTCAAAATGTAGCTGAGCTACGGCAAAGACTATTGGAATCAGCTGAGTTTGTTAATAACCGTGGATTCGCTCCTTTAATAACCCGATCTTTTTTAAGAAGATGTCGAGCGTGTATTGCGGCTGAAGGAAAACAGTTTGAGCATTTGCTGTAAAGGTAAATCATCATCAGCAGCATTTTGACGCCCACTGTTGTGCAAACAGTTATCCTCAAGGGTCCTTGTGCGTTTTCAAAATCGCTGTTTAATTAGGAAATTTTGAAAAATTTTCATCAGTTTTTCTTCAAATAAAAATTGTGCATAAGTTAACGAGTAATCTTCTAAGTGTTATACCATTTTGGAATCCTTATTAAATTCGCCAACTTTTAAAGTTACTTGCCAAACTCTCGTAGTACATTTTTTTCCAGTACAGCCAGTTAAAGTTGAGCAAAGTTTTACTTTGGAATACTTGGTTGGGAAATAAGTGGCAATTTTTCCTGAACGAGAAAAGTTGGCAGTAAGATTGAGACACCAGTTTGAAGATGCATTATTCATCATTACATTGTAAAAATAAAATCCAAAAAAAGTTAATATTTGTAGTAACAGGAGTTGACAGACTGCCGTAGGGTGTGAAATTTCTATATTTTTTTCAAAGACCTATAATTTTCAAAACACATACACAAAGTTTTTTAAATATTTTTCTGATAGCTGTTATGACTTTGCCTATCACCCGGTTTCGGCTTGACGTCGACTTCTGGGACACCCTGTATATATTTGAATTAAGGTCAGTTTCTCAATAGTAAGTGTTATGTTTAAAACAACGAAATTACCCGATTTGAAGCATCTGTGAGCTCGAATCATCATCATAATTTCATTTTTTGAAAATATTGAATATTTTTCCCAAACTTGTATGATTTGTTAGACATTTCTATAAGTTTTCAGAATCCGAGAATACTAGGAAAACTGAACCTTAAACATCTGCGTGTACATAGAGAAATTTAAAAAATTCCAAATTCATACAAACTTTTCGAAATCACGAAATAAACTTGACCTTGAAAATGACAAATCTGGATATTATAAAAATTAACTTTTCCTGAAACTTCCGATAGTATTTGTTATGAAAAGGTGACAACTTACCCGTCCATTCCTTGACAGCTTAATGACCTCGTCCATTGTGATTGTCCTTTGATCCACTCTAAACTCATTCCATTCTTCGCAAAGTTGTATCACAGACTGCCTCGTAACTCCAGGAAGGATTAAGCCGTTCAGTGGTGGAGTTACCAATACTTTCTCTGAAAATGACAAACATTATGAAGATTTTCCTTTTTCCATGCATAGGGGTAATTTCCCGACGTCTGCCGCGGAGGAAATGTAATCGCGAAAAACTTCGAAAATGTTATCATGTATGATAATAGGTTAATATGTTACTCTAGGCAAGAAAAGAATATCTATGGACTAATTGAAGAAAGAGAAATTACAAATATTAACTATATAAAATTACGAGAAGCTCGTTTAGATATGACTGAAATGTTTGTTGATGTTGATAGCTACTCTACTATGCAAGCCTTTTGGATAATGTTGAAGTTTGCGAAAAGAAGCTACGGTCAAGACAACAATTTATAAAAGGCAAAATCCAACACCTTTGTTCTCACAGATATTCAAGGATTCTAGATTAAAAAGAGACTACACTTATGAAAAGTTTATGAGTACTGGGAAAATAAATGGCTACAATACACAAGATCAAGCAACCAATATGTAGCAGCTCTATGAGATGAATAGAAGAAAATAAATACGATAATTGATGACAGTAAAAACAATAGCAAAAAGATGAGGAAAACATTGAAAATATTGTTCCTCCTATTACGAGAAATAGTGACAGTGACAGTATTAAGAGATAACTTACTAACAATCACTATGGATTTGAAGCGTCCAAAATTCTACAAATCTACTTAATTGACAGAAGTCAAAAGACCAAAATTGGATCTAATGTTATCAAGCTCATAAAATATTTCTGTTGGTGTACCACAAGGTAATAAACTAGGCCCACCACTATTTATTTTATACATTAATGGCATTTGTCATAATTTAGATTATTGTCAAAATACTTGCAGATGATACATTAATATACATATCAGATGGAAATATAAACGCTACTTCCAAAATACTAAATTATGACTTGGAAACAATCATAAATTCGTTGAATGTAAAAGATAAATTAAGATTGGATGCTTTTGAAACAAAATGAAAGCTAACAGGGAAATACCTAAATGAAAATACTATCACTGTTAGGATAAATGGTTGAATAATTGAAAATGTTGAAGCAATTAAATATTTAGGTATATACATTGATAGTGAACTAAAGTTTGAGGATCACTATGAATACATTATGTCAAAAATTGACAAAAAAAATTGTTTTTGTAGGGATTATCATAGTCTTAGTTCACATTCCAAAAAAAATTCTACCATATTTACTATATTGTTCACTGCCAATGAAGCTTTATTTTCAAAATTACAAGTCCTGCAAAATAAAGCTTGAATAAAAATAAGTAAACCAAAATAAAATCTATGTCACAATAATTTAAGTGGTTGAATATAAAAAAGATATAGACATATACTAAGTGACATATAAATCCGAACACCCAGTTTAAATGGTTTTATTTTAATAAAAGTTGGTGAATGTATTTATCTTACTGTAAATAACAAGTGAAAAAATTTTCAGCCTTATCAGTTGGACATTCCGGTTTTTATACTGCTTTTTTTTAATTCACTAACGCTCTAAAAATGAATATTTCAGCCGCAGTAAAGAATCAACGTTGGCGGATTTTGGTTCTTGACATCCTTTACGATCGGTTACGATGCCTAGAGTACGGAGACCTGTACGATTTCGTCAACTTAGTGAGTTTGATAGGGGCCGTATAGTGGGACTTCGGTAAGCTGGACTTTCTTTTCGGGCAATTGCAGTTAGAGTGCAAAGAAGTGTTGACACTGTGGTTAGGTGTTATCAGGCATGGCTTCGAGAAGGCCGTACGCAAAGAGCACGGGGCACTGGACGCCGCCGTAGAACAACAGACCGTGAAGATCGCCGCCTAAGATTATTGGCCTTAAGGGACCGTTTCTCCACTACCAGGTCCATTGCAAATGAATGGTTTGCAGAACACGGAAGACCTATTGGCATGCGAAGTGTTTACCGACGAATGAGAAGTTTTGGCTTGTTTTCATACCGGCCACACTGGGTCCTCCCTTTAACTCGAGAACACCGACGTAATCGCCTTGAGTGGTGCAGACAACGGTCACTCTGGGATCAGGAATGGAACAGTATTGTATTTAGTGACGAGTCTCGATTTTGTTTAGGCATGCACGATGGTCGTGCCAGGGTTAAAAGGCGACGTGGTGAAAGGAGGAATCCACAGTTTTTTGTTGAAAGACATATTCATCACACTGTTGGAGTTATGGTTTGGTGTGCTATAGCTTATGGTTCCAGGTCACCTTTAATCTTCATCAGAGGTAACATGAACGCGCAGCGTTATATCCACGAAGTTCTAGAACCCCATCTTTTACCCTATCTTGACACCCTGGCAGATCCAACTTTCCAACAAGATAATGCCCGACCACATGTTGCAAGAGTCGCAATAGACTTCTTTCAACATAATGATGTCACATTGTTACCATGGCCACCAAGATCTCCCGACTTATCCCCAATTGAGTACGTGTGGGATATGATGGGTAGGAGATCGCTCAATTTGCAACGTCCTCCTCAGACTCTAGAAGCACTTCGAGAGGAGTTGGTGGTTGCCTGGAATGAGATACCACAGGAGGACATTGACCACCTGATCAGAAGCATGCCTAGGCGCGTTGGAGAATGCGTAGCACATCAGGCTGCATCCACACATTATTAAAGGTCAAAGGGCTTTCAAGCACTGCAATCATTTTGAAATTTTTATCATTTACTTATTATGCTTCATTAAGTACTTATACAAAATTTTATTAAAATAAAACCATTTAAACTGGGTGTTCGGATTTATATGTCACTTAGTATATAATTGAATAATTACCACAATTATTATACTGGAAATATATATTTACATCTACAAAGTAGCAATAGTATTATAACTAGCAAATCAATATTTCAGGAATGATTACTTTAATTTAAAAAAACTAAATAATGATATAAAACCGACTTGTAATTTAAAAATGGTTAGAAGTAATTTAAACGAATATTTCATGGACAGTAAAAATTCTTAACCTTGCAAGTTTTATTTTTATAAATACCTGTATGTTATGAAATTGTACTTTCTGAAAAGAATGTAATAGTAGCAATCATGCTAAATGAATCTTAAACAAACGACAAGCTGTTTGGGCCTGTTTGACTGACTTGGTCCATCTAATTTCTCTCTTGCACATGTAATTAACTTTGTCTCAGGGGGTGCTGAAGAAAATTCTTTATGAACTAATAACGGCATCACGTGACAAGTACAGATCAACTTCTTGACTTCTGAGATAAAGTCAAAATCACGAAAGGTGACTATTCCGTCATACCATAAATTGTACTGAAGTATTCAATGAACGTATACTTTATCTGAAGTCACTTGAAACACTGTGAAATACCAGGTGCGTTTTATATATCTATATTTAACAGGCTCTGTTGCTGCAAAAATCGCCAAATTTCGCAGCAAATATCCCCCGTATAAGATCAAAGGCAGTTTCACCGGTCCACGTGGAATAAAGCACGCCTATGCGTGGACATAGCCAATGAGAAAGCGTGTATTTCAGAGCTCCGAACAAGTGCAGGTGGCTACTGAAAATTGAAACAGTTTAGCCAGTGCCGTGTAGCGGTGAATAAACGTGTTTTCTTTAGTCTGTCCGTGTTTTTTCATAGATTTTATTAGTTTGTGTGTTTTTGACTTTTGAATACTCAGTTTACTTGTTGATTTAATTGTTGTGTTGATTGTTCTTGTGCGTCCTAAATATGGCTCTTTGGAGACCTTGGGAAAATGCTCCAAGCCACGAGGAGATGGTTGATGAACCTGTGCAGGCAGAATTCTTTCATAAAGATTTAGAGGAACAGACCCAAAGGGTAATCCTAAATATGTATGTAAAATGTAAAATCCAGATTCCTCGCAAAATCAAATTTTAAACAGAATTTGTATCCTGACAAAAATCAGTCGGTCTACCATTTATCGGGTTATAAAAAGCGGAGATGTAGTCAACCATTCCTTCCACAGAAAGCGCATAGGGCAAAAATTAAAAAGAATAGACGTGGGTTTTCAGGAAGATATTCGTCGTATAATATACGGATTTTATAAAGAAAATTTGGTGCCCACGTTGGAAATGATACGGGATAAATTAAAAGATTATCCTGAAGATTTTTATAATTACAAATCCTTAGACTCACTGCACTGTATTGTAAAACTGTGTGGTTTTCAATACAAAAAATTAGATAAAAGAATGGTGATTATGGAGTCGTCTCGAATCGTTGAATTGCGCCAAGAATTTTTGCACAAAGTTAAAATCTATAGAGAGCAGAAAAGAAATCTGATTTACCTGGATGAAACGTGGTATGATACCCATGATGTTGTGCAGTACGGCTGGGTTGACGACAGCAACAAGTGCATTTTAAATGCACCATGCAACCGTGGAAAACGATCATTATTCTCCATGCTGGCAGTGAAAATGGATTTATACCTAATGCCTTGCTGTTATCTGCCAAAAATATCAAAGAATCATGTGCCGACTATCATGAGGACATGACCTCCGACTTATTTGAAAAGTGGATAGAGCAGCAGTTAATACCAAACATTTCCCCAAATTCAGTGATTATTATGGACAATGCGCCATACCATTCCCGACAGAAAAACAAAATTCCGAATACAGGCACAAAAAAACAAGACATTATTGATTTTATGAAGGATAAGGGAATGGAAATACCACAAAAATCAACCAAAGCCATATTATTGGATCTTATTAAAAGACAAAAATTTGAAAAAGAGTATGTTGTTGACAATCGGCTTCAGCAAAATGGCCATGAAGTATTTCGTCTACCTCCCTATTACTGCATTTTTAACCCGATTGAGTTGGTCTGGGCTGCTTTAAAAAAAAAGTAAGAAAACATAATCAGACCCCTCACTTAAGTGAATCGCTATTGGCCACAATAAGAGATGCAGTATCTCATATTGCTGCCACAGACCTATGGAAGCAGTGTTCTAGGCATATTATTGAAAAAGAAAATGAATATTGTGTTATGCCTCCTGTAAATCCCGTTGTAATTCCTCTACAAGATGACTCTAGGGACAGCTCCGAAGGCGAGGATGATATATAAATACCTATAATGTAAGTCTTTATATACCTTTTTATATACCTACCTGCTATGTCAAACGTTGGAATTCTGTAATTTTTCCATTTCTTAACTTTCAGTCAACATAAATTAAACTCCCAATATAAGTATTTTTTATCCCAAATCAAAAAAATAAGAAGATAGTAAAATCCATTTATTGTGATATAAATACATTATTATTATCGTTCTAAATAAATGACCGCACGCCTATGATACGTCATGAAATTACAATGGACGCGCCGACCAAAGGTTTTTATGCTATTTCAAGTGACTTCAGATAAAGTATACGTCGATGATAAAATCACGATGACAGGAACAAATTTATATTATGATTTTGCGTTAGTTTATTTCACTGATTATTTTTATTTTCATTTTATTTTGTGGTTTTGAGTGATACCTTAATAATAATTTTAGTGGGGAGTTTTTGTTTTGAAAAAAATCTGTTTGAACAATAAAATTCTGTTTGTCTCTGTCTAACATATGAGACAATATTCACAAATCGGTGTCGTTTGTCTGCAGACTAAAATGATGACGTAATCGTCATCTTTCGTGATTTCGACTATAGTATGTTTTTTGGATGTTATCTGACATGTACATCACCAAAAAACATTCATTTTCTACTTCTGTCACTTCTACTTACGCCCATTGTCCTCCACATAGAACACGAAACAGTTCATGGTTCCCATCTCGGTGATCTGGTTGTCCGGTCCGTACAACCACAGAACTTGATGAAGACCCTTCATGAGCGCCGTCTTTTGGACTCTAATAGTCGGTCCGTAGTTCGATCCCGTTTTTCTGTCGCCCAAACCTCCTGGCCAGGCACGGATGTAAGCAGGATCAGCCAGAAGTGATACTCCTTCGTTACTGGATGAAGAGTTGCTGAAGTAACCGCCCACTGGACATAGGATGGTGTAAAGAAGTGCTGAATCTGATTGCACGACTCCCAAAGTACCCTGCGAAATGACAAGTGTGGCTAATAACGATTTGTATTAATTTATCAGCAAGTAGGGCTGCCATTATGACTGGAGACTACAGTATATTCAAATAAGAGATAGACCGGATGTAAACAAAAGGTTCGGGTGATTTTCACGCTAACGCCGCCGTCTCGACGTAAAACAGGAGCCCTCATTGGTCAATTCGCAATTAAATGCCTATGCCGAGCGGCAGAGCAGTCGTATCAAGGCAGAGTCACATTCAGGTTCAGACGTGTTACGTATGTCGTGTGCATCATTGCAATTTGATATTTCTTTGGACGTTTTCGTTTGTTATCTTATTAAGTTGTTGAGTTTGTCGTTGTTATTGTTATACCTTGTTATTGATTGTTATTGTTATCAACTGCTTGCGCAAAATGCCCAGTAGTACAGATACTGCCGATGAAGTTGTAAACTCCTGTAGTCCACCTAGGAAACGCTCTAAAAAAAAGACACCTGAGTGCAGAAATGAAAGAGGTCATTTTGAATATATATAAGATCGAGCGCGAGGAGAACGAGGCATCAACCATCAAAGAAATTGTTGTGAAGGTTTCTCACAAAGTTGGGGTGTGTCGCGCATCAGTGTTTAATGTGTTAAGACAATAAAAAAAAAATCACACCTTTTCTGAGCCAATGACCAGTAAACATCGCAAAAGTATTGTTAAATCATTGGATGAAGCTGATAAGCATGCGATTAGGAGGAAAGTGCATGAATTCTTCTTTAGAAATGAAATACCTACCATAGATAAAGTACTGCAGGAGGTAAATGGAGATACAACGTTGCCAAATTTCAAACGATCAACTTTCCATGCGTTACTGAAGCATTTAAATTTCAAATGGAAAAAACGGGGTCGTAATAGTTTACTACTGGATAGAGAAGAAATTGTGCTATGGAGGAGGGATTATTTAACAAAAATTGGGAAATATAGAAATCAAAACATGAAGATTTATTACCTTGATGAAACGTGGGTAAACGCAGGACGCACTACAAGTAAAGTATGGGTTGATGATTCTGTAACTTCATCCAGGAGGGCCTTTCTAGATGGACTGTCGACCGGATTGAAAAATCCAGCAGGTAAATACGAGTAATAGACAACAATCGGATGTTTTTCAAACCTTGGGAACAAGGTTCTAAACATTAATTCCAGGGGGCAGATAAAACATATTACAAGTAACAAAACTTTTATAACTTTCGATAAAATGCGTGGATGTTTTATTGTCATTTTCATTTGTTAGAACTTTTTTAAGCCATGTTTTTATGTGTTTTCGATATTTCAATAATTTTTTAATATAATTTTAAAATATGTCGAATATTATGAACTTAAAAAAAGTTACTAAGTTTTATATTGTGTACCGTTCCTAATATTTCTAATCATTTTAATTCATACTTTAAGCTTTATAAAGTTAAAATTTGTTAATATTAATATTTGCGCGTATTTCAGGTTCCTGATCATTCATTTTTTAAATGTTTATAAATTTAAATTAAATTGTGAAGCGCTGAGTAATCATACAACGTTCAATATTCTTTCTTTCAATATGACTAAATAATCCCAATTATAGCAATCTGATACTCATGTCTCAATGTTTTTTCGCTGAATGTGATGAAAACATTTGAAAAAGGACCGCTTATTGAAATAAATCTACACCAGTTAGTACTTCGATTTCCAGGTAAAGGGAAAAGGATCATTATCTGCCATATTGGCAGTGAGGATGGATTTGTTGTTGACGGTCTGTGGTGCTTTGAGTCTAAGAAAACTGGAGATTACCACGAGGAAATGAATGGCGAATCGTTTGAACAGTGGTTTTCAAAAATTTTACCGGACTTAGAGGAAAACGCAGTAATTGTGTTGGATAATGCGCCTTATCATTCTCGAAGAATGGAGAAGGTCCCAACAACGGCTTCAAGGAAAGTTGATGTTCAAAATTGGCTCCGCTCGAAAAATATCAACTTTGAAGAAGCAATGCTGAAAGTACAATTATTAAGAATTGTCAAGGATCACAAGGCGGAATATCAAAAATACGCCATTGACGAAATGGCAGCAAGTCAAAATAAAACTGTGCTCCGTTTACCTCCATACCATTGCGAGCTCAATCCCATTGAGCTCATATGGGCAGAGGTTAAAAATTATATAGCTAAGCACAATACAACTTTTAAATTTTGTGACCTCAAAGGACTTTTCAAAGAAGCACTAGAATTAATAACAGCGCAAAAATGGGAAAACTGTATTAAGCACGTGAAAGACAAAGTTGAAAAGAGAATGTGGGAACTGGACAATATTTTAGAGGAACAAGTCGAGCCATTCATTATTGACGTTGGTGCTTCAGGCAGTAGCGATGATGAAAGCTCACCAAGCTCATCTTTCCAATAAAAGATGTCGTTCATCAAATTCGGTAAGTTATAAGTAATTATAAAGCTACTGTATTTTTTAAATAATTATTCACATTTTTGAACCCATTTTGGCAAAACCTATTCAAGAATCTACTTTCTGACAATGTTCAACCATGCACATTTCTTTACGTTTTGAACGTTTTAATTTGGTTACATATTTACCTAGAAATCAAAAAATATACTAATCAATATTCTAAAAGCAATTTTAAGAGATATACGATTATTTTTAATTTAGGCTAATTTAAACGCCATTTTGAGATTATATTCGACTGTATTTCACCAAACATCAGACGGCATCCGAAGCTGGAAATCGAAGCGAAAATTTTGAAACCCTTATGTATATTTACATCATTATATATTTCTTACCCCACCCCCACATGATCCTATATCCATCACCAATCGTATACACATCGAATTGTGCTAATTTACTACAAAGTTACGCAAAGCAGCATCTACTATCTAAAATATGTACTGCGTGACTCTTAATACGTCCCTGCCGAATGTTACAGCGTTCGATGATCACGTGGTCTTGTTTATGTCCGGTCTATCTCTTATCTGAATATACTGTAATTGTCAGATTGACCAACAAATTTTATGGTGCTGCTAGTACATTCAAAATGTTGCGTGAGTGTGAGAAAATATTCAGACATTTTTATAGAATGGCGTTAAGTAGGATAGCTCTGTAGGTCTATACTTCCCATGTAATTGGAAAATGTTGCGCAATGTGAACTCCAATTGAAAAAACCTATCCAAGCAATTGCATTTGGGATATAGGGGAAAGGGGGTAAGATGACGATAGTAAGCTTATTATAAAGGGCGATTTTTTAAGAGGTATAGGATTTGATTTTCAAAAAAAAAACACAAAAAATTTGAAAAAAACGATTAAATCTTCATTTGAGCCGATAGAACGGTCGATATAATTTAATGTTTAAAGATTATTTCATGTAAATGTTGGCCGCGGCTTCGCTTTAGATGGCCCATGCGCAAGGTCCCATTTTGGCACACTCTCTCCAACATATCGGCCGGTATCTCACGAATAAATGCTTCAATATTGGCTTCCAGTGCGTCAATCGTTGCTGGTTTATCCCTGTAAACATTAGCCTTAACATGGCCCCACAAGAAATAGTCCAACGGCGTTAAATCACACGATCTAGGCGGCCAATTGACGGGCCCCAAACTGTTCACCGATCTCGCCTCTCAATAGGGCCATTGTTTCGTGTGCGGTGTGGCATGCGGCACCGTCTTGTTGAAACCACATGTCAGCCAAGTCCAGCTCTTCCATTTTGGGCAAAAAAACGTTTGTTATCATCGCACGGTAGCGCTCGCCATTCACAGTTACGTTCCGGCCATTGTCGTCTTTGAAGAAGTACGGCCCGATGCCGCCACCGGCCCATAATCCACACCAAACAGCGATTTTTTCGGGATGCATTGGTAGCTATTGCAATGCTTCTGGCTGGTCTTCACTCCAGATGCGGCAATTTTGCTTGTTCACGTACCCATTCAACCAGAAATGAGCTTCGTCGCTGAACACAATTTTTCGATAAAAATGTGGATCTTCCTCCCATTCACCAAATTTGAAACGTTGTGGAAGGTCGTGTGGCTTCAATCCTTGCACCAGCTGTATCTAATAAGGTTTTACACCCAAATCCTGTCGCAAAATTTTCCACGTAGTGGAGTGACAGAGGCCCAATTGCTGCGAACGACGGCGAATCGACATTTCAAGGTCATCACTAACACTGGCGGATACAGCCGCAATGTTTTCTTCAGTCCTGACTCTACGTGTGCGTGTTGTTGGTTTAACGTCCAATAATGTAAACTGGGTTCGAAATTTAGTCACAAGCTTCCGAATAGCTCCCTCAGTAGGCCGACCAAATTGCTCATAAATTGGAAGCAGTGCTCGATGCACTCTCTTAACCGAGCATGAATTTTGATAGTAAAATTCAATAATTTGCAAGCGTTGTTCGTTCGTAAGTCGATTCATGGTTAAATTATAGACCAAACTGAACAAGTTTGACAATGACATAAGACACGATTCACGCGTCATCTGTCAAAAACAGTGTTGCCAAAAAGATGCTAGCAAAAAAATCACCCATTACATCTTTCTCAATGCAATTTCAATTTGGTATCTTGTGTTTAATTTTAACATTAACTTGAAACATTAAGAAATAAAGAGGATTATCAAATACTTAAATATTTTAAGATTTGCTATTTAATTTTTTACCTTAAAAATTGGATGTCAAGTTCATCTTCCAGTCGTAGGCGGGTAAGATGACAATATTGGGTGGGTAAGATGACGAAAAAAATCTATATTTAAAATATAATTATATATTTATTAAACTTGACAAAGTCACAAACATGTGCCTTACGCTTTGCCTCTGATGCTGTTAAGACCAGTACAGGCGGCATGCACCCATTTACTAGAAGAGGAGCAGGCATACCAAAGTTCATCTTTGCCTGATTCACTGCAAATTAGACAAACTTCTTCTGTATCTCCGACGTAATCGATGTCATCATCACTTTCCATGTAATCTATTGATATGGAGGAATCTGAAGACACACTGTCATTATCAAACTTTATTTGTCTGTTTCTGCT